ATAGTATATAGCAGAAAAACGCCGAGAAAGATGACCACCATCAAAGAAATATAATACTGCCCTATAAACATCCTTCTGAATAATATCCTAATAATGCTGAAAGAATAAGGCTAAGAAGTCATCTGGGCTTGTAACACATTCAGCATCCATGGTAAAGGCCACCTCCCGAATCTCATGAATCGAAAGGAGACAGTTTAGTTCCATATTATCATCCACCATCCTGGGAATGATATCAGAACTAATGGGGTCTAAAGACATTTATGGAGCAGATAGAAGGTTCTAGTAGAATGCCATAGCTGAAGTCTAAATATCAGTCGGAGTAGCTAAAACTTCCTCTACCTATGTCATGATGGACCTGATATGTGATCTGATCCGACGACCCTAAACCATTGCATAAAAATATCGAGTATTGTGATCTTCCTCACATACCCAACGTGAATCGGACTGCTGCTTCCAAAAACCCTCTTCAATAGATAAGGTCCGATTCAAAACTGCCTGAGCATGATGTAGTAAGTTGTGGTGCTCCGGTGTAGGGTCTCTATCATATAGTATCTCAGCCTCATCAATCCGTACCTCAGCATACCGCATCCACTGGAAAATATCTCCAAATACGTGTTGGTTCCACCAACGCAGACCCCGTTTTAGCCTAAAAAACTTCTCCCAAAGAGCGGTCATCCTGTTAGATGAGTAGGGAGCGACCACTTCTAGGAGACAAAGGCTAAAAAATCATGATGCATGGTCCGAACATTGAGGAATCTGAATGGTCTAGGCCCCAAATCATCATCAGAAACCCATTGAAGTAGTAAAGGAGAGTGATCAGATGAAGTCCAATTCAAGTGTCTAACTGTAAGCTGTCGACAAAAAGCTACAGCTATAGAATTAAAAAGTACCCTATCCAGTCTCTTTCTGACCCAACCATTGGTCCAAGTATATCTGTTTCCAAGGAAACTTGTATTCTCTAAACCACAGTCTAACATCATATCAAAAAAAGCAGTAGTGCCATGATCACGAGTATTATGACCACTGCACTTTCCATCATGTGTAACAACATTAAAGTCTTCCTTAACTAGCCAAGGATCATCCATATCGAGGGAGATGTGGTGAAGATCCGCCCACAAATCCCTCATGATAGCATCATCGCCCGAAGCATAAACTGGAGTCAAATAGATGGGAAACGATAGTTTGGGGTCCTCAACTCTAACGTGAAGGAATTGGGGATGATCAACAATAACAGTAACATTTGTCCCCGAATTCCAGAAAAACCATATCTTATTCGATTCATTTCGAGTTTCCATTTCAAAGCGCAGATATCGTCGAATGTATGCAAAACTGTGCTAAAGAACAAAAGGCTCCAAAATAACTAGCAGATAAACCTGATGAAGTTGTATAAGTTTCTTCAGGCACCATCGAGTAGCTACACTAGCACACCTCTCACATTCCAAATGATAGCACTTATAGGGATGGAGAACGAGAGGGGGTATCATGTGACTGACTCCTAGTGATCTTTCTGCTCGAGAATGGAATGTCAGTAGCTCATGGATGCTCTTTTGAACAACTGGGACAAATCCATCATTCTCTGCCCTCTCAACCAAACCAATCAAATTATTAGAAGAAGATCTACGGAAGGGTCCCAGCTAGTGAAACTTAAGCTGAGATGATTCCTCTGTATCTGACTAAGCTGACTGCGTAGAAGGAATAGATGCCTCCACATTTTGATGACAAATGGAAGGAGAAGAAGTAGTAATAGGTACCTGAACCCTACCTGGCGTCGAACCTAGAATGAAGGCAGCTCTAATGACTGTGTCTGCTAGATTATTTGATAATTGTGGAATTTTCAGGATCTCATCCAACATAGGATCATAGAACGGAGTGATAGATGGACTGATAAACTATGTAGAAGCTAGAGGTGGAGTGGATATAGCTAGATCTATTATACTGATAACAAGCAAGGCTACAGCAATATGAGGAACCACTCAAGGAGAAGACGGATGGATCTGAGCACGTGTGCTAGTACAGTAGATAGTGGAACCGGTGTAATGACAGTGGACCCAGAAGGTATAATCTGGACTCCAGAATTGCTAGCATCATGCTGTCTCCTCTAATCTCTCTGAATTGGAATCCATCTCTTGGGAGGATCAATAACAACCTCCTTTGCTCTTATCCTTGGCTAGATCTGCAGTAGGATTAGGAGTAGGGTCAACAATTGGAGCAGGATGTGATGCAGGATGGTAATGCTCAGTATGAACAAAATGTCTGCATCGAAAACATTAATCTGGCTTCTTCTCATAGACAACTGTATGCCAATATTCTCCATGCTTTTCACGCTGAATC